TCAGCCCAAAGCCTTCCAAAGCCACCGTGTTGTCCGTCTATGTATATTTCTGTATTTTGTTGTGTCTGCTTCCCGGTGATAAGCAACCGGACTGACGCCCTCTAGAATAGATGGGGCTTGTGTGTGTGTGTGTGTGTGTGTGTGTGTGTGTGTGTGTGTGTGTGTGTGTGTGTTTAAAAAAAAGAAATGGGTGACAACACGTGTATAAGACATTGGCCACAATCTACCGCACAGCTTGCACTTGTGTCAATAGTTGCTGTACCCCAAAGGTTCCGTCTCTTGTCCATGCAACACCCATTTGTACGCTGGTTTGTTCCTCTCCTACTCCATCTGCTTGCTTCCGGTGCAGGATCGAATGGCGTCGGTCGCCTTGCTCTTGCCCTTGCTGCCGCTTTTGCCCGTGCTGTCGACATTGCCCTTGCTTCCACCATCGCCCTTGCTGCCACCATCATCCTTGTTGCCAGAGGGGCCGCATGAGGAAGACATGTTGTCCAAGGAGGAGGGACAAAAAAAAAAAAGGAGAGGAAGAAAAACAACAAGAAGAAGAAGAGAATGTGGGAGGTCTATGGAGGGAGGGAAAATAAAAACAAAAAGATTGAGGGAGGGAGGTCTAGGGAGGAGGGAGAATGGTGATGGAGGGGTGATAGGGGGTGGGCGACGGTGGAAGGACGGCGTGGAAAATGGGAGAGACGCGCGATGGAGAGAGCAGGGAGGATGGAGAACGGCGATGGAGGGGTGATGGTGGAAGGTGACATTGGAGGGCGGAGGTGGAAGTTGGGAGAAAATTGATGGAGAGAGGAGGGAGGAGGGAGAATCACGATGGACGGGTGATGGTGGGTAGGTGATGGTGGAAGGACGATGTGGAAGTTGGGAGAGACGCGATGGAGAGAGAAGGGAGGATGGAGAACGGCAATGGAAGGGTGATGGTGGAAGGTGACGGTGGAGGGCGGAGGTGGGAGTTGGGTGGAACGCGACGGAGGGGGAACTTGGGCAGTTAGGAGGGAGAAGGCGATGTAGGGAGCAGTGGGATGGAATGATGAAGAGAGGAGGTTCTCTCTCTCTCTCTCTCTCTCTCTCTCTCTCTCTCTCTCTCTCTCTCTCTCTCTCTC